CCCCTCCTGTCATTCCTGACTGCCCCCCGCTGGGACCCCTGCCCCATCCAATCACCCCTTATCCCTGACCACCCCTGACACCCCTGCCCTTGACTACCCCCCGCCGCCCCATCCAACCCCCCCATCCTTCCTGACTGACCCCCCCAGGACCTCTGCCCCCATTCAACCCCCCTGTTCCCCGCCCTCTGACCGCCCCGACCCCTATCCACACCCCTGCCCCCTGACCACCACCCCAAACTCCCTTGCCCTCTATCCAATCCCCCCCTGCTCCCTGCCCCCTTACTGCGCTGCCTGGAGCATCGGTGGCTGGCAGCGTTACAGCCACGCCGCCCAGAGTACCAGGACAGGCAGCCGTGCCGCCCGGCTGGAGCCAGCCACACCACCGTGCAGTACAGAGCACCGGGTCAGGCCACGGCTCTGCAGCTGCGCTGCCTGGCAAGAGCTCGCAGCCCTGCTGCCCAGAGCATTGCGCCAGCAGCACAGTGAACTGAGGCTGTGGGGGAGGGGGAACAGCAGGGGAGGGGCCAGGGGCTAGCCTCCCGGGCCAGGGGGCCAGGGGCCTGGCAGGAGGGTCCTGCGGGCCGGATGTGGCCCACGGACCGTAGTTTGCCCACCTCTGGTCTAGTGGGTATGGCACTCACCTGACCCAGCTTCCAGTCCCTACACCAATTAATAGTTAAATAGTTTATACAAAGTGGAACAGCTTCAACAAGAGAGAATCTCACCATGTCAGAATACCCTATAACACACTGGTTAGAACACTAATGTATGAGTTAAGAGATTTGGGTTCAAATTCCTGTTCCACATCAGGGAGAGTGAAGATTTGAACTGGGTCTCCCACATCCTGAGTAAGTGCTCTAGTCAGGGGGCTCTTGGGTTGGGCACCATCTCTTACTCCTATTTTTTGTGCTGATTCACCAGGCTCTGAGAATGCCTATTGGATTGGGCCCACTGGGGAATGCCTAATTTAGGGCTTAGGTGTGAGCTAGGCACTGCGCTCCTCAGTGGCATTCAGAGTCAGGTGGCTTTGTGCATGCACACTGGCAGAAATGTAGGCACCTTGGAGAATTTATTGGCAAATAGTTAGGCTAAGGCAATTTACGTGCTTACAGGCAACAGCTGAGCAGGGCTTTTGACAGTCTAAACATTGGATTTAGGGACCTAAAGTGGCAGTCAGGCACCTAAGCTTTGTGGATCTAACCCTAAATGTCTT